TATGAGAATTTTATTTTTTTAATCTTTCAGAATTTTGATTTTGCTTAAAGTATGACTATTTTTAGATTTTGATAAGTCTTTTTCGGTGAGATTGTTTGCGTTACGCCGCATTTAATGACACAGCAAATACATAAAGATACAAGATACATATGATTTGGTGCTTTGGTTAAATGTGCTTATAGTTTATCTTCTAATTATGATTATATATAGCCTCTAAGTTAACTACTTCCAAAGGAATTTCCAAATTGGCTGATAAAAATAGCAGCCGGTGATGCTGACTGCTGTCGATGGTTGAAAGCGTTTTAATAGGATTTAAGCATTTAAACTAATTTTAGCTGGTCCATTGTTAACATCCGTAGCTAAAAATATCAAAATATATTTAAAATTGATTCTTTTGAATAACTCTAAAATTCTCATTAATCAAAGAATCAAAAAAGAAAAAAACAATTTTGCTTTTGGTTAAAAAATATCGAATAAAAAATTCTTTTGAATAAAATTCAATTAAATTTTAATGGACGTTTGTTAATCTTTTGTGTAAATAAAGCGAGTTTTGAAGCGCAGGAATCGTGTCATGAAATATATTAATTACTGGTTGTTTTTTGATTTGACACTCGTATGTATTTTATTTTATTTGGATTATTTCTTCAACCACAACAGTTAAGGTTTTTGATATTTTTGTTAAATCGATTTAAGTTGATATACATTAAAAGTTGATACCAATTATTACTGTATAAAGTAGCGTTAGTTATATATGTGCGGTGATAACGTAGTATACATTTAAGGTCGGCATAGAAAGAAGACCTACAAGCGACACCATCAGAGCTGGTTTATGGCGCACACATACGCATGCCGGGAGAAATGTTCGATGGCGAAGACAAACAAGTACCGCAAACGGAGTTTGTAAAGATAATAAAAGCAACGATGAGAGAGCTGAAACCGTTACAAACCTCACGTCATATGGCGGAGAAACCGTTCGTGCATAAGGATTTAAAAAGCAGTTCACACATATTCCTATGTAATAATGCTGTACGTCCTCCACTGAAACAACCATACGAGTGGAAGGTAGAAGGACGGACAGTAAATGTTAGTGTGGACCGCGTGAAACCCGCATACATGGCGAATGAAACCGGGGAAAGTTTGACAGGAGAACGAATGGAAGAACCTAACCGCAGTGACTGTGTTCAACATACACCGAAGGTGACTAGAGCGGGAAGGATTGTACGGTTTCCAACAAAGTATACTGGATAAGTGTCACTTCAACAGAAGGTAGAATTTGTCGTCAGTTGGGTGTCAAATTCTAGAAGGGACTGTGTGGTGATAACGCATTATACATTTAAGAAATCAATTTGACAGAAGTAATTTTATACTAAGAAAACAAATTTTATATAATTTATATATTTTGTAATTGAGAAGTAATATTAACAGCAATAAAGGTGTTGATACAAGAAACTGCAATTACAACATATGTAACCCAATTTTAATAATTTTATATGCACCATTAAAAATAACGTATTGTAGATTTTAATGTCTATAAAATGCATTCTATAAAATGTGCACCAGCTACAATCGGTTTAAAATAACACAAAAAATTAAGAGAATGAAAACTGATTCTTGCACAGGACACTATTCTCTCCAAAACTTCTAAAAATAAACTAAGTAAACTTAATAAGTAGTACAATGGCATAATATATCTCCCAAGAAAGAAATACTTCTATTGTAATTACATTACTTATTAGCTTAATTCGATATACATTAAAAGTAGTCAATGTAAATTGATCAAGTGGTACACAAGTATAATTTAAAGCAATAACTTCAGTTATTTGATAATCTTTAAGAAGAAGAAATACGGGTAATTTAGTATAGGAAATCTGTGCATTATGTAGTCATATAGAAAGTTTTGAAATTCTTATAGCATAAATATTCAGGTAGTTTTGACAAAACTACCTAAAGCTTATCTTAACAAAGTTTTGATTAACATCAATAGTTCAGGATCCAAGATTTACATTGAAGTTAATAAGTACGAATTGTTATTATTGTAAGAAAACGGATACACTGATATGCAAACTGTTGTTAATAACGTATGCGAATAGTCAGTAAAAGTCGACCTAAATATCAACGCCTCAAAGACAAAAACAATGGGAGTGAAAACAAGCAATCAATCGTCCATCCTTTTGAACGATTATAACACTGAAGATGTGCAGGAACTCGAATATTTGAAGAGCATAGTCAACAACGAATGTGGTACGTCAACAATGTAAGCGTCGAAACTAAAATCAGAATATTCAATTCCTGCGTAAAATCGATATTATTAAATGGGTGCAAAACATGGACGCTAACGAGGGCGTCGGCTCAGAAGTTACAAGCCTTCGTTAATAGAAGCTTGCGACGTATTTTGAAAATATGGTGGCCTGCAAGAGTCTCCAACGAAGAGCTATGGCGGCGCGCCAAACAAAAGCCAGAAACGGAAATATTGATGGTTCGTCCATCCACTGAGAAAGCCGACAGACGCAATTGCCCACGCAGTTATGGAATGAAACCCACAAGGAGTAAGGCGGAAAACAGTGGCAACCAAAATAAACAAATCCTATAACCAGCTGCGTTATGCTGCTAGAAACAGAGACGAATGGAAACATTTTGTAATAACTATCTATGAATCGAGTAAGTTCTAAATTCAATTTTTATAAATGAAAAACATCTTTTAATAATAATAATACGCACTAATACGATTGAGATCAAGTTACTGTTATACTTATTTTATTAACAGTATGTCAACAGTAAAGGTATATCATCATACCTTTAGAATAGCGACTACTTATTTTATAGATTACTTATTAGGTGTTAGATTACAGACTTATTCTAAGCTGAGAAAGGGGCAACTTGCAGGAGCCTGTGTGATTTATTTCTATTCCCGAAACTAATGCTATCATATCGTAAAAGGCTTTTCAAATTTTGTCGACTAAAGCGACAAACCGATAAAGCTTCTTCTTTTAGCCAACTCCTGTTAATAGTTTGTTTTCTAAAACGTTAAGCTACTATCTAAAAGCGAATGTTATGATTCCATGACTTGTTTTGTTCTCCTTACCGAAAACGTGTTACCATGAAATATACTCGTAGTTTTATTCTGTGAGTCTTTTCATTTGAAAATTAAATTTATTTTATTAATTCATGACGTTATTGCATAGTTTACGTGATCAAATGCGAACTTAACAAAAACTTTTATGAATCAACTTAGCAAATTTCAAAATGATTCACATCATTCCGCGATCGACATAAACATTTTCAATTAAACAATTGTAGTTCAAAATTTAAATTATTTCAGTGCAATAAATCAACAATGAAATACAATTGAACAATGTCATTGAGAGGAGTAGACCGAGGAGTTCACTGAGAACAATGGACTAAATGGAATTGTTTTGCACAAAATTCACGAAACTACTTCGAAATTAAATATTTTTTCCTGTAGACTTTTTATTTAACTGCAATTTCTGCCTTTTCATACATTTTTTATAGATTGAGTATCTAACCTTTTTCAAAAATTTTTAACAGTAGCTGCTACTCACCGCTTTTATAAAAAGTAGAAATTCATGAGGCTTCTTAAAAGAATCTTTCATTTTCTTGTGCATAAACTCTGCTAATCAATCGCAATTAATTATGTATTACTAAGAGAAGTTATTTCCTTAGATAGATAAAAATAGTAAATTACCTTTTCTGAGTCACACCTGATGTGATTTGTGTGTTAAGTAAATTTTTTTAATACAAATACGCATGGATAAATCAAATTATGTTCTTTAACATTTATAATGAGAAATAAAATAACAATAAAAGTGATAAATACGAGGTTCAAATATTGGTCATTGGGTTATTATGATAATGAGATACAAGTTCACTTCATCTCCGTCTGACAAACACATTCGGCGAAGTAAACGAACTGTGAGCTTATATTTGTATAATTTGTAATATTGTAATATGGGAAGTGGGAAGTTAGTAGTTGGAAGTCAATGAACAATTAGTATGGGTTTATATTCTTCATGTTTAATAGCTCTGAAATATTTGTACGTGCCTACATATATATATATATATAATAATATATATATATATACATTAGTTTTGCATATTGTTCACATAATAATGAGCCGTGACGTATAAGAGCTACTTGATGCTACGCCTTGATTTTCCATTTAGGTTTTCATTAATTGTTCACACATTGTTAAGCAAATCTGCTTTGCCATAAAAAGTATCTGAAAACCGCAAATTAAAGTTCAAGTGTTGAGGGTCAAGTAAGAAATTAAATGAAACTCTAAACATATCAAGAGAAAACATTCACAAAATCACATTCACAGAAGATTTCATTTTTTCCTTAAATGATGTAATATTCCATAGATATTTTAAATTCAAAGCAACTTTTCCGCTTTTTGAAAGACATTTAAAGCTAATTTTTTGGATAGATAATTATGTAATATGTAACTATTTCTTCATTTCGCCTGTTAACCTGTACTGCTGTACTGTAATGATCATTTCTTAACTTCTTCAATCAATTTTTCGTAAGGATGTGAGAAATGTACTTGTACTTGTTAAGAGCTTCTTTATTAAAAATCTTAAATTACTTACATTTTAATCTTAAAGGTAACGTTCTGCTGTTTATTGAAATTGATCATGCCATAATACCGTTTCTCCAGATCGAATTAGTTCGTTAACATATTGCCGTTGATTCGAACTTAGAGAGAAAGCATGTGGTGACAATTCCAATAACCAACAATGGTTACTCACCTTATAATACTAAATAAATTGGCACTACATATATATTTGGTACGTCACTTGTGTATACATATGTATACAGTCATAATTCAAAAATATGCTAATGAATGTAATTACATCAGTTTATTTAGATAAACAAGACGTAAAACAGATTTGGTTGGTACTCGTATTATATATGTAAGAATTATACGAGTATAACAATTCACAATATTTTGTGAATATTTTGATATTTCCTAGATTGTCAGTAGTTTCCAAGATAGTCTTGAAATTTCGGAACCAATTACGATTAAAGAACGTATTTGTTGCTATTTAATCCATATACATTATTGATTAGCAATGCAAGATAAATAGATTTAGTTATGTCCATACGTCCATTTCATTGTCAGGAATTTATCTAAAAATTAATAGAACTAATTGAATTGAAAGTTTGGATAGGGTAACCTATAGAAGTAGGAGAATACGAACCTCTCGAACAGTCGAGCTGCAATATTCTCTTTGTCATTCCATAATAAACAACAAAACAGTGGTAATATAAATAAAGAAGAGAATACTGATCTCATTAAAAAGTGCTTAAAAATATATTCAAAGTAAATTTCTTAACTTATAGTAAATTTGATAGTGTAAAATGATTGAGTGTAAATGTGTGAATAAAGAACTTATTAACTATCTAAATAGAAGACCATAGTGGAATGTCAGAAATTAAGTAAGCTTCACCAAACTGTAATCTATCGGGAATATCATCTTTTTTGGTGGGGTTAGCTTAGCCTTACCGACATATATATATATATATATATATAAAAATTGAGTATTCCTTTAAGAAGAGGAAAGAGGAAGACTTCTCTTCAATCAATTAATCCATTCAGGGAGCCCAATCTATATTCTAAATAACTAATCATCTTTATCAACTGCGTAGGTTGAGTTTAAAAGTTTAAACAAAAGGGCGGTAATAAGTTACCTTCACAGAAGACAAAGTCTACCATGACCAAAACTAGACAACCAAAAAGCGTTTAATGGCAAATAAACTAGAATAATTTTTGTGTAGTTTTGTTATTGGTGAGATTAAATATTCATTAGAACTAACATTGAAATTAATATTCACATATAAACGATAAATAATTGAAAACACAATCAATTACATTTGAATGAAATCATATATGAACTTTGCTGAAATCCAAGTTAAGGGTCAAGTATACAATTTTTGTCGAGCAATTAATTGCAGTAATAAACTTGAACCAAATATTCAAGATGAAATTATTACTATTCTAGATGTGAATAATCGAAACCCACTCCTAAAGCGAGATTTAAATTAAAATGCAAGCAATTACCATAATCTGAATACTGTTTGTTTAAGAGGGCGTGACAACGGCAGGAGGTGCTAACATTCACATGCAAAATATCCACTAATCCCCACAATTGCTTTAAATTGTTTCTTAATTTTTAAACGTTACTGACCACAGCAAATAATTGCAAATTAATAATATTAATAAAATATAATGTATGTGCGTATGTAAATTTTTTATCTTGGTACAACAATAACAAATTCCTATCGTTTCCGATTAATACCAACATAATTCGCAAAATTAAATTAACATAACACTGACCTTCATTGAAATATTAAAATAATTTCCAACAACAAAATAAAGCCAACAACAAAACACCACATACCAAACAAACACTAACACAAACACAAACACAAACACGGAGTTGCCAATATTCAAACGTCAAAAATATGCACTGAAAACTAAAAACTGAACGCATTTAACGTAATTTAGGACTTGAGAGTGATTTTGTCTAGTAGAAGTAAGTGGTTAGTAATTGTCAAAAATAAAAATTTATTAAATAAATATAATAATAAGCGACATGCAAATATATATTAGGTAGAAACAAAAAAGTGCTCTTTACTTCCCCGAATTTAAGCAATTATATGAGCTACTTAGCTACTTTGGCAAACCGCTCAAGTGGCTCGCAATACGCCTAACAAAGCCCAAATGACAGCTCTGTCACGGCGGCGCTGCCGTGGAAGTAGTAGCAACAGCAGCGGAGCTAGTGACAGCAACAGTAGTCACATTTAAAAATACCTCGAACAAGTACAACGACATGCCCGTGGAGGAGTAGGGAGGCCTCCAAATAATGAAATTTAAATTGATAGTTCTCATGGCAGCAGAAAACAAAAGTAAAACGCTAACATTTAAACTTATAAGCCAAGTTAAATTGCGCGAGAGTTGTTGAACCCAAAATTTTATGCAACGAACAAATTTGTTATGAAAATTAACTTCAACGTTTTGTGAAGCATTTAATATTAATAAGTTAAATCATACAATTATACTGAAACTAACCTTAATTAAAAGTTAACGAAATAAAATAAAACACAATTTTCTGAGTTATGGTAGCTGGAACAATAATAATCAGGTAACCAATTTATTCCATAAGATTCCAATGAACCTCAATTTAACAAAACCACTAATTTACATACGTCATCTTTTCGTTAAGATTACATTTGTACATTACATGCTTCTACTGCTGAAGATTATGTACCAAACTGACCTTCATTAAAATTTAACAACTCTTCCTCAACTTTTTTAACTATCACAAATGGTGAATTCAGATACACACCACTCTCAGCTCTAACAGTTTGTTAAATTTATGTATGTATATAACATAAGGATAACACTTCGTTACATAAAGAATGCCGTTATTATAACAATAAACTGATAAATTGTAACTCTGTAAGTATTCTGTTGCTGACATGCTTTTTTTGAACTCTGTTAACTTATAGGTAAGTTGACATATGCAATATGCCCCTTGCAAAGTGTTAGAACACTTAATGAGTACCGAATGTAGTGCAACTGTAGTTAAATTCAAATGCAAAACGAGTTTGGTTCTCAATTTTTATTGTTGTGAAAAAAACACAAGGAAGTAATTAATGTAAACTTAAACAAACATTTAATGCTTAATTTTAAAACAAAGTAAATTAATTATTATAACTAAAAATACTAAATGATGTTTTAACACAAAGAATAAATTCAGTTTTCAACTTACCTCACACTGGTTAACAAAACAATGAATTGGCCTAGATTTAATAAAGATTGCTCACAATTAGACGGAAAGCGAACGAGAATACATAAATAGGATTTCTATTACATAGAACAGGATAATATTTTTTAAATAACCTCGATATATTTGATTATTGCTTAGCTATTGGTCAACATAAATAAATAAATTCAGTTTTCAATTTACCTTACACTGGTTAACAAAACAATGAATTGGCCTAGATTTAATAAAGATTGCTCACAATTAGACGGAAAGCCACCGAGAATACATAAATAGGATTTCTATTACATAGTACAGGATAATATTTTTTAAATAACCTTGATATATTTAATTATTACTTAGCTATTGGTCAACAGGAAGATGCTTTGATGCTCCAGCGATAGCAATTAATGAAATTGCAATTATCGTTGCCGCAACGGATTTTGCAGAACGTGAAACAGATTTTTATTAATTCTTTTATTTTAGAAAATACAATTAATAAATTAAACTTTCCTTTGACACATTAAAAAAAGAGTACAAGTTAATTATAGTTTGATTTATATATTTAACGTGTCATAGATTCCATTTAAAAGCTTGATTAGCAATGTAAAGTCTTGTGACGGATCCACTAGTAATTGCGTCTTCTGATTTGTCTTTTTTATTCACACCGGTTACTTATCCAGGTATTTTATTAATGATGACACTAATCATTTAATACATTCTCCGTTAACATATAACTTACACCAAATTTTAACTTTGAGTAATGACGATGCTATCAGTACTGAAGTTATGAAACGCATCCTGCAAAAGTCGGAATGCATTCTTATGTGTAAAAGAAGAGGGAAATGGTGTACATACAACATGTTTATATCTATCATATTCACACCATGAAGTCCCTTCTGTTTCTTATCACTTGCACAAAATCTTGTTAACTGGTGTTTGTGATAGGTGTGACTTTTAGATGGGTAGTTACCCACATTGGAGTGTCATAAATTTTGTGACCTGTGTATTCACTTCTCGACGAGAGTCGCTCTAGTCGTTCTAGTCGCAAAATAATTTCATTATCAATTTTTGCATATGAAAATATACTTCCTAAAACATTTTAATTGCTGCTTTACTGCGTCAGCATGTTCCAGCTGTGTAGGGGCACTCGAAATAAGACAATTTTAACCTGTTTCCACACTTAAGTAGATACTTTGTACGAGGCCCATTTGACAATTTCAAATTCGTTTGCTCATTTTTAGTTATTATTTTCTTGTTATTCTCACTTCAGTTTTATTTTTAAAAATTCGTTATTTCGCTTTGGTGCAAACAGGATTAAGTGCCGTTTAAGCACTTCCTTATTGGCGATTCTTTGCGAAATTATAATTTTTTCTGAACGTTTTCATTATAATTTTTAGATAGTTTGGGCTTTATTGTTTTTAAATTGTTTCTTTAATGTTGATTTGTGTAACCTTCATGGTATGAATTGCATTATGACTACAATGACTATGATGTCATATGAAGCTTTTTGGTTTCTGCTTAATTGTACCACAAATAAATTTCTTATTAAGGTAACTATGTGTATATTAAAGTACATAAGCCCTTCCGATAGCAGCCACATATAATTGTAAATGTTGTATAATAATTAAAATATAATAGTAAAATATTATCTTTTTGTTGTACTAAAGGAATTCAGTCCAAATGTACATAAAACAATGTAATGCTGCATATAAATTGCCTTAGTTTTGTAAATTTATATTTATGACGAAAAAATAACTTCATTTTAAAATAAGTCAGTGCTCAACTTAGCTTAAATATATAAATTAAAACAAAAAATAAAACTGTTCAATACTACTTCACAGTACCAAAAAAATAAAATAAATAAAATACTGTCAGCTAACAGCACCAATAAAGGGAAAAACGTAGAACGTGACAGACAGTGACAACCAAAAAGCGAGTATTTTAGGATATTTTAGTTAAAACAGGGAAATAAGTAAGCTTTTATTAATTTTATTTTGAAACTTAATTATGAGAAAAGAAAACTATACTAATATAATATAATAGAAGGGTTTGGTACTAATATTGAGTCACACCAACAAAAGTTTATTTAGAATTAATTGAATTTTTGGCTCTCCATACAGCTGTTTCGAATATTCTCAAATACTTATAATCAGTAGTCTTTGGAAATATTTGTTGGTTTTAAAAATTCGTATATAATTTTTGGAAAACAAACGTTGGCTTTTAATATTCTATTAAGTAAAATTATAAATAAATATAAATATTTATATGTAAAGCTGGTTATTTTCTACATATAAACTGAAGAAATTTATATCAGTTATATATATATATCTTATATATATAATTCTTCTGTACGTGTGTTGACAGTGAACTCCTCCTAAACGGCTGAACCGATTTTGATGAAATTATTTGTGGGTGTTCAAGTGGATTCAAGGAAGGTTTAGATTCACAATTTGGCCTACTGGATAATGTCTTTTTAATTAATTTTTTATTTTTTGGTATCCATACACATTTATATTAGAAATTTAAAATTTATTCATGCTTACTTTGATTAGTTTAAAAAGTTTAAAATCTTTAAAATGAATCGTAAAACTGCCGTTGCATTAAATTTCTAATATAAATGTATATGGATACCAAAAAACTGTATAATAATTAAAAAAACCGTTATCCAGTGGACCAAATTGTGAATCTAAATTTTCGTTGAATTCACTTGAACACACACAAAAAAAAAGAATTATATATATAAAGATATAAATAACGTACAAAAAATAATGGCACGTCTTCGTGGATGAGGAGGAACCGTCGGTTAAATAGATCGGCAGAAAACAATGAAAATGTAAGAAACCAGGATACAATCACTAATGAAAGTCAAGAGCAACGAAACGAACGCCAGGAAAATTAATTGCAAGGGGAAACAACGTTCGCTGGGTCAGCTAGTATATATATATATATATATATATATATAAATGTATTTCATAATTTAAGATTGAGCACATTTATATTATTTTTTCCGACCGTTTTTTTTTATTTTATTACTGCTATTTGTGATAGATAACTAATGTTATTCATAAAATAAATCCATGCGTATCCAGAGTTTTATAAGATTAACCTAAAATAAAACACAGAAAAATATTAAGTATATCATTAAAACCAGAACCGATTTTGAACCAGAATATTCAACTTTTAAATATAATTAAAAAGAACTATCGGTTTTGCGAATTCCAAATTGAGGACGAGTATAGATGGTTCACTTTATAGGGTCAATAGCTCCGATTAATATAATATGCGACATATGCGAAATATGTGATGGATATGAAAAAATATCTAATTGTTAGAATTAGATTAAAATTTCATATTTTATAGATTTTCAAATTTAAATTGAGATTATTTAAATTTAAGACATATGCACATGTAAATATATAACAGATTTATGTATTCATTAAACTTTATGCATATTTGAATTTAAATTATTTTGAACTCAATCTAAATATTACATACATTACTGTACTATTAACCACTAGATGGCTCTGCAGTATTTTTTCAAAGAATCATATCATATAATTACAGTACAAATAAAAATTTTATTCAAAAACATATTATCGAACTTCAAATGTTTATTAAGTTTTACCTTCGTGTTATTATTAAAATTTTATTTTCTTTAAATTTCAACAAAGACAATGCATTGCACACATCACATTTTCTTATCATGCTCTTCTATAATCTTTGATCTAACTACTAACTACGAAATAAGTACTTTTTTTCTAGATTTCATTGGGCAACCCTCCTGCCACACGTAAACAAATTCTGACATTTTACATTAAAAACAAAAATTATTTTTTAGACATATTGGCAGTGTACTTTGTTACTAGAAAGTTTTAAACGTTAAGGACTATACTGAATGTATATTTTATTTTCAACAATATATAAATAACATTTTCATTTGATTTAACACGAAAACGTTAACATTATGCCTATTTTACTATTGAGTAAATCAGATGAAATTTATTTGCAAAAATGTGGCCAAGATTTGGATTTTGCTTTCGGTATAGTTGCTGGCCAGGTAACATTGAATGTTGGAATTTGAGTGTAGTGTGTTACGATTTTAAAATTTCTATTTTCGTTATAACAAGCATGCTGAGCCAGAAAAGTTCGTTGTCGTACACTTAGCCAAAAATTGTGACGAAGATGAAGTGGCAATGCAAGATGGTGGCACAGAACAAGAATCACAAAACGCTCCAAAATGCATCGATGACATAGATGTCTCAGTCTTGTCACATCAGTGGACAATGGCAGAAAAAATGTTGCCAGGATCGTTTCGAGTGTTAGGTAAATGATGTAGAAAAAAAATAGGTTCATCCTGACATTTCAATAACAAACTAAAATCATAAACAGAAATTGTTTACTAGCGCCACGATAGTACGGCATTCTTTAAATATATAATATATATATTTCATTTTAGGTGGATTTGTATCAACCAAAAGTGAAATTAATGAGAACCTTTTCAAGAGCGCAAAGAGAATCCTAAACGAAATTCAGAAGTGAGTATTTTATTTACAAGAAGTAAATACCAAATTTAATTCTATTTTAATTTCAGTATTTTATTGAAAGCTCAGAATTATATCAGCTTCGTAGATGACGTCAACAAAAACCTGCTGTTTTTGGCTTACTCAACAACTACGAACAAGGCAATGTGCAGATTTTATACTCACAGCAATAAGTAAGGCACTTTCATTAATTTCATTATTACAAAATTACTATTATTATTGCTGTTCTGAATTTCGAATGCTTCATTTTTCGAAAACCAAAATTAGGAAAATATCTTTCCTAATTAAGTCTGCATGCGATTGCATTTATGCAATTACAAAATAATTTGTAGATTTTGTAAATCAGAAATGTTAAACGATAAATGATATTGCCTTTCAACACAATAATTTTACTTAACATTTTCAAAGAAACGTTCCTAATATAAATAATTCCCTTTTCGCTTCTTTTATTCAAACAAATATGAACGTCCAGGGAATGCAAGAAAACATATTTTACGGCAAACATAAAATGCGTACTATGGTAAATAATTAATAATTAGCAAATTTAAAGTTTAGAAACATTATAATTTATTGACATTATTTGACATTTTCAAATATGCGTTTTGTTTTGGTATTTTTCTCATATTGACTCTTTGCTGATTTTTCCCACTTTATTTGTGTACGTGTTTTCGATTTTATTTTGACTAAAGTTCCATTTTTTTATCAAAAATCGAATTAAAATTTTTCAAATATTTTGAACTTCGATTAAAAATCTATAAGGCATAATTTAGCTCCAAAGGTTTTGTACATTCTTTCTTAATGTACCATATTACTTATACGGTGATATGACACATATATTTTTTGTTCTTAAATGACTTATAGTTTATATATATGAGATATTTATTGTATATGTGTAGTTTATCTTGCTTTTCAAAAGTGATTCCAGTAAAAAAGCTGGAATCGCTTCTTAAAATGGAATGCATTTTTATTTATGTGTGTATGCATATAAACGTATATAACTTTGTTTTTACATTTTAATCAAAATAATGTTTGATGTTTTAATATTGTATCACTTTATAGTGGCGGTACCCTTTCACCTATGGACTGCCGCATTGTAGAAAAACCATTCGAATGGTATGAGTTTGAAACAAATTATGATGTGGAGGGAATATACAATATAGTGGATGTGGATGCCACCACAAAAATTAACATTGAGGATCAATTTAAAAAACTCATAGAGGAAACGAAAAACGAATTGAGCAAATCCACAATATTATTTGACAACGATTGTCTTTTAAGCGAGGAATTGTTGGAAAATTATGTCAAGAAGAAAAAGGAAAATGACAACATAAGTTCAGTGAAGTGTTTTTATCCAAAAATTTATGTATTTAATGAAATCCCCAGCGTTATGTTAAATATAAAAACTGAATTTAAAGTATTCGGCAGTATCTCGTCACGTATTTGGTGCAATCCAAAAACATCTATAGGCGACGTGAAGCGCTTTATTTGCGAAGATATAATGCGTTCATTGGCGGCACGCATACAAGTTTACTGTGATGGTCTGACAGATCCAAACGTGAGTACAGACTCAGACTTTATGGGAGAGCCGCCAAGACGCATTTATTTTAAATTAACTACAACTACTAATGACACACCTGTGCAATTTTCGGAATATATATTTCGTGGTGAGGCACCGTTAGTTGCCGTTGCCCAAGCCAAACAGTATCTGGACATGGAAATCAGTGAGGAAAATATTTGTAAAGATTTGGAAAGGGTGGCTGATGAAGATCGTTTGAATCAGAGCACTCCAGACTCAAGTTATTCCATAGCAAATAACACAGAAATTGAAAAAACAGAAACGAAACGCAGTGTATACTTCTGGGCGTTTCTCATAGCATTCGGGGTACTTATGCTGTCCGTTTTACTTGCTATCTACCTAGGAAAGTAAGACCGATTTAGGGAATTAAATGTGCATTTCAAATGAAGTGTATGCAAAAACCTTTTGCGTCATCAAATATATATTTTTACCGTTTTTACAAGAACAAAGAGCTGCAAAATTTATATGATGGACCAAATGTTTGTTGCATGCACAAAGCCCGATATTTATTACTTAATTTTTTTTATTTTTATTTTTTTGTATGTAAATGTTAAAATTTTCTAGTGTCTTGTTTTTATCAATATTCATAATAAACATATAAAAAATAAAAAAATAAATATGATATATACAATTTATTACTATATATAAGAGTTCTTTAAAGGCCATTAACGAATATCTAGGTAAAAGGATATATATATATATAGACTACTTAAATAAAGAAAGAAAAATTTGAATGGAATAGGACGTTTTAAAACAAGATTTAAGACATAGGGTTGTGTTCGATTTACGCAGCATTGAACGCATTAAAGGAAATGAAACAGAGTAACTGGTTTTTTTATATAATAAATTAGTTTGTTATTGGAACGATTAGATTTTTGTAAAGAATGAACAAAACAGGGTTATACAGGGTTCTGTTTATTATAATAAATTGAATTTAACTAACTTCAACACCTATTTCGACGAAAAGAGCTTGTTTTATTTATTATAAAAAGTAAATAAAAGCATAAAAGTACAATTAATTTCCATTGTGGAATAAAGTTACGTATAGTTTAAACTATTTTAAAGATTTTTAGAATCAATTCCAATTGGTAGGGACTGGAAAAGGTTATTCATTCAAAATATTTTGAAATACATTTCATTCTATCACATTTTTGTCTTGTCTTACGGTAAATGATATCATTTTTACAATCCAAATGAAGCATCTTAGCATTTTTGGATTTCAGTTTGAGTTTGAGTGGACAGTGGTCAACTCGGTGGTATGTAACCAATTACCTTATGATATGCTAAATATTCGCTGTGACGGTGAGTGAGACATAATCTCTTCCATGTACGTAAAATTAAACATAATGGAAAATGAAGTTACTGTCAGGAGCAAAAAGTTGAAAAGTTATATACCAATTAACACAATCGTTCATAAGAGCTATAGACAATCTGTGTAATAAAAGTTTGGTACTAATTAAAATTCTCTTCTCATTTAGAAATAAAAGTTCTGTGAGCTTCATCAAATTAGCTACGGAAACACAAATGATACACATAATTGCAGGAAAAAGAAAAGTATAAATCTTGTACTTATTAAAACACGGCATTTCTTACTTTCATAAGAATTTAAACGTATCCCAATTCATTCATTATGATGACAGGTGGCTTCAAAATATTTAAGGTTTAATAGACTCTTCCCTCTTGTATATATGTTTTATGTATAACACATCTTAAAAGGGAGTACCATAAATAAGACTTGGGGAAAGCGTAATGATCTTAAAAATTATGTTTCAAGCCACTTCAGATATAATTTATTATTAGAATATTTTACATTTTTTACTCGGAATATTATTGAAAGAACGTCTAAACAAAGAAGAGCATAGATGTTTATACATATCTACTACATACGAGTATACTGTTTAGAATGTTTTCCTGTTTTAATAATAGTTTCCTATAAAAGATTTTCTATGTTTGTGAGTTCATTGTAGCACTAAGAGTGGGGAATAGTTAGAAAATGTAGTGTGCTTTCATTATATATATATATATAACATTTTTATTGGTGGGTGAAATATCTTTATGGAATGGAATAATTTCAAATATGCCAAACATTGCGAAATGAAGCACAATGGCTTTTAGAGGAGATACATACTGTAATTATATCAAGCAGTCATCTATTTTTAGCTTTTTAGAGAAGATAGAAGAAGAAGATAGTATCTATATATATGTATGGTATATGTAGAAATACACAGATAATTTCATTTCAATGCATCAACATATCAAAATATACATACAATACACATATTCGTGTTTTCCTATTTTCTTGCATTAATTATGGTCATGGTGTATAGGGCCCTAACCATTTTTTTTTAATTACAATTCAACAAATTAATCAGCAAATATTGATTTCGATATATGTAATTGTATTAACCGATCCAATCATACGAGTAATTTGGTAATGTTATTGTAATTGATAATGGAGCAACCCAGAACATGTCTATAATTATAAATAAATGTATAAGTATATTCGCATAATCTGGCGGTAAATAGTTATAACCTATATTATATAGGTGTATTCGATTCATCCAATGAATTATGTAAATGATAACAACAAGTTCCAATCACTTATGAAGTTAAACTATGAATATGGAAAAGTATTGTGCACAGTCTGAAATAACTGAAATGAATATTTCAATAATCCCTGAAATGGAATAATAACAATAATCCATAAGGTAGCATATCACATTTCACGTCGAGAACAATTTGAGAGAGACTCATGCAACGCGAAAATTCATATACATATATTCAGATATATATCAAAATATTGTTTGTGTTGTAGAACAGATGCAGTGGTCTTCAATACATGGTGTTATCTTTGCAATTTTGCATATATAGTTTGCATATATTATGAATATATCAAAATTAAATTCTATCTCTTAGAAAGGAACTATAAATTGTTAGTTCTCCGTGTACTTCTAATGCCTCAAAGCACTTTGACTTTACGTTAAACAGTTCTTTAAAAAAAAATACCCTAATTTATTTATAATCTGACATGCACACTGTTTCTATGGAGTGTTTTCCACACTGAAAATTTCTTCGCCACAATAATGACAACATTAATTTTTTTCTAAGTATTTTTATAAGTTCCCTATTGTTTAATAAACAAAACAAACAAAATTTATTGTCGCACTTTTTCGTCTATTATTTTTTCTAAAAATTCGCACTACTAATTCAGCATTTTATACTGCTCTGTATTTTGTAAGACATGGGCATGGTATGTGATAGTTACATATATAATTTGTAGAGATAATCTAAAAATTCAGAATAAAAAGGCTTTGGGAAGCCAGTGATTTTTACTATTTAACGAAGTATTTACATCACGAAGGTCAAAAATAATAATAAGTTACTTAAGATTTGCATTAAAAGGATCACCTGAATTTATGAACTATACACAATGCGTTACTTCATAGACAACTTTTAATATTTGTATTTAACCAATTTAACCCTAATTTAACAGGAGAGTCTATAATTGTACAGAAATCATTCTGCATGCTTAACGGAGACTAGAATATCTTCTGTCTTAAAAATTTATTAAACTAAATATGACGCCAAACTTAACAACTCTCAAAATATAGTCCTTAAATGAAATGACAGCAATTGGAATGAAAGGATGCCAAATGGTAACTCTACGAGATATTTTACAGTATCGATCCTCTTTCGGGAGTTTTTTATGGCTTATAGTCAAGCTGACAATAGCTTCACCATAATTGACCGATGTTTGCCAAGTCAAACATCTCATACAACGAACCCAAAACAAGAACGTGTGGTACAATTTGTGGTTTGTGGCACCGTCCTTTTCACAAAACAAATCGTCCACATATACCATATGTCTTCGATTTCACACCAAACAAGTTGGCAATCATGTGTCTTTGTCTTTTTCAAAAAAATAAAAATACCGGCCTATGATCTAATTTCAATTTTTATTCGTTAGTTATCCTATTGCTAGTATTGTCTCTTGAATTATTACATTTGCTACGACCCATCAACGCAATGGAGTCACATCCTGGAGAATGATGTAATATGGTCCTAAGATAATTCTTCGTCAAAAACTTAAATAAAAGTCAGTAGTTAATTTTTCCGTTGTGAAGGTATTTATTGGGGTTGATGATTTTGGTTAAACATAATTTGTGAGCTTAAATTAAGTATTACACAATAAATATGTTAATTTCAAACTTAACTAATATTTATACATGATTATTTAAAATATTTCTCCATTTTATATGCAACTTGAATAATAATTTTCAACCATGCATTCGAAGGATTATAATTTCACAGCCTCTTAAGCAAACACTAAACATATAAATATCTTATAAATTAATACTATTCACTTAAAAAATAAATAAAAAGCATTATCTAAATACATATAACATTTTTATGATAAATTTATTTTGAAAATATCATTGCAATGGGATGATGTTTCAAAACTTTTATTAAAAATATCAAGACGTGGGCAGTGATCAATCGAAGTTAGTAAGATAAATTAAATTCAAATAAATTGAATTGTTTTGATTATAAACTAAATAATTTTTTTCTATAATCTAATTTTATAATAAATTATAATATAAAATTAAAGTTAACATTATTAGACATAATTCTTTTAGTCTACGGTCTTTGACTAACGACTTTATAATCTGAATTGTACTTCTTTCATTCATGTACTTCTCGTTATTTATTCTGTGACAAAGCAATGAACAATGTAACATAACAATTTAATTTCAGATGCTAAATAGCTTCAACTTCGTTGATACAACTTGCAGTTACCATTGCAGTTTATTACAGACCACACCCAGTCTACGTAGTTTGACACCTTTGCATAAATGCCGAATTTATTGCGCTTCGCACAACCGTCACCAAAGGAAGTGATACCAAAAATGGTCCAAGGATGATTTGGTTTTGTAGTATCCCGACATAGTAAAGGACCACCAGAATCTCCAGCACACGTGTCTATACGTCCTTTCTTATGGCCTGCACAAAACATATTTTTTGTAATGGTATAATCCTGATAAACTGATCGGCAGTTATCCATCGATATAATAGGTACTTCTGCTTGATGTAAGACACTTGTGCCCGATATATCTCGACTGCGACGTTTACCCCAGCCGATTACTGTGCATTCCATATTCTTGGGTAAGGGCTGATATGGTGTCGGCAGGCAAGAAAAACCTATCCAGTTTGTAGCATTCACGGGCTTAGGTAATCTATAATGGCCACAATAGGTAAAATAATGAACACGTACACTAAAACCTTTTAAATATCAAATACCCACTTTAGTAACGCTACATCACTATCTACAGTTTTCTTGTCAAAATTGGGGTGCTTGAAACTCTTCAGTATACGTAATTGTAATTCGGTGCCGTCAGCATAGTCCAAATTATGCTCTCCAATGCGCACATAGAGAACTTTTCGTACACAATGCGCTGCTGTAAGCACCCAATTGGGTGCAATTAAGGTGCCACCGCAAAAGGCTTCCTGCAAAAGTTTTTGATTTTTAAAATATATCTACATCTGGACAATCTAGTTACTTACCCTAAAACGATTAAATATCGCTACTTGCCAGGGCCATTCTCCCTTACGCGCTGCTTTGCCTCCTATTATCTTCAGCATATTATACATGCTCCGTTTGTTGCTTCGTATGGAGGGTATGCCACATTTCAGTTTCATGGGAGCATATTCCGGACCTCTGTAACCTTTGCCACTCATGATGTAGTCGCTAACTATGGAGTTCGATTGTATACCACCGATGTTGTCACGTCGTCTAGAAGCAGACATTGGACGTAATTCATAAGGTGGTGCTTTGTGAACTTGTGCTTGCAGCCATTGCTCGCAAAAGCTACCTTCCGTGTAGCAATAAGCAATTTCCCGAAGCACTTCCCGACCGCACTGCTCTCGTACACGGCACTTTCTGCGATATACCAAAATGATAAAATTAAAATAAAGTTTTACTCGAGTGATTTCAAATTGATTTAATTACTCACTTATATCTTCTCGTAGTGCATTTTGGTGAGCACTTTGTCCAACGGCTCCACTTGGAATAAAGTCGTCTATGTTTAGGTGTCAGTCCATCTATAGTCGATTTTTCTTTCGAGTAAAAACTCGCATTTCTGAAGTCTAAGTAGTCATTGTCATCAGAGTCATAGGAATCATTGTAATGATCACTTGCGACAGCATCTTGTTCAAAATCGAAGTCCTCATATTGAAAGACATCACCTTCGATGCCGTCGTCTCCTGGTGCTAAACTGCGTTCACTAAGCACTGTACCAAATCGTTGTTTCTTATGTGAACGATTTCGGTTTTTATGTCCATTTCGTTGATGTTGTTTCATGTTTTTACTTTTTTTCATTTTATTACCCATTTGTAATCCATATAAATGCGCAGAATCCCACGAAGACTCCATTGAGTCCTCCTCATCTTCGAAATCACTATATTCCTCAGGTAGTGATTCTTCATAATTTGTCGCGTCGATTGGTAATGGTTTTCGGTTTTTGTTGAATTTATGCGGGCGTTTATGTTCATTAAAAATAAAAAAATCATCTTCATCTGAAACACCAGCTTCGTCTTGTACTCCGAATGGATTGTGATCTTCACTTACATGTTCAATACCCCGGATTATTGGCGCTGATGTTATAGGGGGGTAATTAAATATCGGCTGATAAGGCTGATGTTCTATGATTTCCACCGGCAGTACCGGCACATGCTGTACGTGATGCACATGTTGCACGGTGGGTACGTAAACAGATTCAGTAGACACATGTTGCGGGGATTGCGTGGGCTGAGTACCACTTGATGCAGCCGCAGCGGCATTTATTATTATTGGACCGTGTGTATTCTGCTGTGGCAGTTGGGATGTTTTCGGAACGGCTGAATATTCATCATGCCAAGTTTGCTGCGGATGACAGCTGTATACATATTTAAATGGATGGGTAGTGGAGCAAAGAAGTTGCGTAAGGAGTTTACGCAAATGTTGTGTACATGAAATCAAGATTAAAGACTCTTTTATTAATTATGACAAAGTAGCGAGCAATTAATTTCATTTTCAAGCAAGACATTTTCAGATCAAGAGAAATATTTTTGTTTATGGAAATCAAATTTATTTTAAACTCACTGCCAGCATTTCTGTTCCTCCACGTGCTTTGTGTAACCACATTTTCGTTTTGCTTTACAGAATCGTTCCCTGCGTTTCACACAGCTATGGTCGCACGTTGTCCAAGGCGTCCAGCGTGTAAATCGCTGATTATGATCTGATGAGTGCCATCGCCCACTCCAACGGCTTGGATGATTATGCAGGCGCTGTATATATTGTGTACTGTGTTTGCTTTTAAAATGTGATGGTGGTCGTAGCGGTGGTTGTGCATAGAAGCTATGACGGTGACGGTGACCAACGGCGCTCCTCACTTCCGTGCGGATGTAGTTTCTTGCCTTCTGCACATGACTGCTCTGAAAAAGAATGTAAGTTTTAAAAATTTGAGTATTAAGAGTTTCTTCCAACTTAAACAATAAACTTGAAATGGTTGTTGTCCTCCCCACTGTCAGTTTGCTTTTCTGTCTGTACTTGCATTAAAATTACAACTCATATGGTTTATAAGTCACGCTTAAATAATTTGAATCGAGTGCGATTAAGAAAATTTAATGATAATCGCTTCTGTCGCAAGATACGTTTGATTAAGTGGGTTATGTTTTTGTCTCTTTCTAGGTAACTATTTCTGGTTTATATCTCATACGTTTACAACATTAAAGTACATTTAGTGTTGTAATATTTTGACCCGCCGACTACATAGAATAGTCTTTTGTTAAATATATCATTGCACATTTTAGGTTACAACTGAAGAAACATTAGATAACTTGCTTTATCTGAACTGAACGTATAATTCTTAAACATTTCTTACAACATTCAGGTTTTTAGTTATGAATAACTTATAAATAATTTATTCTTAATTTGAGTTTCAAAAGAGCTAATGCCAGATAATCAGACCAACACTACTCTATGGGTGTCTATAGCAGAGCTGCCAACTTTAATCCTCTCCGAAGACTCTTCAAAGTGCCTTGGTACATCCGCATGAATGATATGCTAAGAGACCTTAGAATAAATCCGGTAAAAAAATGCATACAGTACGGAGCCCTGAATCTGTTCGCGAAAACCGACAGGCTACCATACTCAGCACTATCTAATTTCAGAATCTCTAGCCGCACGGGGCGGTACGCAGATCTTAGTTCAGTCTTTGAATAATTACAAAGCTTTTGAGGAATAAATAAATTAATCAGTGAGAAGGGTGGGACTCTGTAGAAACCCCCTATCTATTAGAGAGTAAAAGTGCCCAGATGTGATAACTCGAAAAAGACTGAACATAAATTACTTAGAATTTACTGAAAAAATATATGTTATCTAGTGTTTAAACTAATATTTTACTACACCAAATTTGTCCCTTTAGTTTAAGTCAAATAGATTAAATTCCAATGGAAAATGACAAGACTCTACATTCCCAATTGATTGAAGCACTGTGACTTCAGATTATGGAGTTAATTTCAATTGTAATTTTTTTTCTGTCATACATTTCAAGACGAACAAATTATGAAATTGAAGAACTAATAAGAAACGAAAATATAGTGAGATACATTAAGTCGCAAAGGCTGTAATGGGCTGTTCATATAGTAAGAATAGGACCACACCGCAGAGAAAGCCGAGTAGCATATACAACGCAAAGCCGACGACAACTAGGCACAGAGGTAGGCCAAGAACAAGATGAGATGTGAACGTGTATGGTGATGCAAGAACGAGTGGAGTACTGAACTGGAAGAAAGTAGCAGAAGACAGATGGAGGCAGATCATTAGAGAGGCCAAGGTTCACACTGGACTGTAGTGCCAAATAAGAAGAAGAAGAAGATTGCAATTCATAATGATATAATGATATACTTTCTTCACCAATTGTCAAACCTATTTAACACTTACCGTATTTATGTTTTTGACTATTAATATTTGAGTTAGTTTAAGTAATTATGACGAACTCTTCTGTCAACTAAAAAACATCTAAACCTTAACTTTGCTAATTCTTGAAACTAGAAATTACCTAAAAAGAGAATATCGTTTTCAGATAGAACCCGACGTTGATATAGCATACGCTTTATAGTTTTTTCTGTCATCCTATATCCTTAAAATCTTGCCGTGTATATAATGAGAGGCAGACGTTAAAGTGCTGCAACTACTATTTGAACTTATATCTTTTTAAAAAAATGTCACTTTAAACTGGAGTGTGTTTGATATAGACGAAGCTATTAGATTTAAAATAGCATGACATCTTAAAATAAAAGTCAAACTTTTTCTTTTTTGGGTACCGTAGACAATTACATTCGATCGGAATTTTCAGTTAATCCAAGCATTAACCTTGACGTCACAGTACCGCCTTCTTGAAAGTAATTTATTTAACAGCTGTCAATGCTTTTAATACCTTCGATTAAAACGAATTAAATTTCAGCTGAAAGCGAATACTAATATAGAAGACATCCGTGAGTGTCGTGGAAATTGTCAACAGTCTGGAAAATGCGACTAATGAAAAAATGATTATATCACACGAAATGGCAAGACTGTCGAATTAACGTGAAGGTGTATGAAGAGAAACATTCATTTCTGCGGGACCGACATGCATCGCGGGCTTTGTTTGTAAATAAGTCGCATGTCGCCTGTTCGATTTGAATGCAACATACCATACAACCAAACATATTTCACATAGAATGGAAAGAAAGATGCAAAGTTTCTTTAAAATACAAATATAAAAGCAATTAAATAATTTATTGAAAAATTGTGTATTTTTGAACTTCATCGCACCCAAAAACCGCATGCATCACCAATTCTTGAAGCTCCAGTGTTTGCGCTAGTGTGCTCCATTGCATTTGGCATAGTCGAAAATAGTTCCCACTGTGCGTGCTGCAACGATTTATATTTGTCTTTTGCTCCCTGCCAATAAAACTCAAGTGATGTTTTCTATTCCAACGAAAACTGCACGCGCTACAGAGTTTCACGAAAATCTGTTCTGTGTAGCTTTGCACTTCTGATGCTCTTTAATTTGCAATTGAGTTTGTTTCTCTCGATTTTATCTTATTTTGCTCCGTTTCTGAAGTTTGTTTTGTTTCTGTATTATGATTTTATGAAGTGCAACATTTATGTTTGCATTTGCAATAATTTTGCCAATTCGCAGCGACAACGACAGGAACAAACACAAGTGTACGAACGGAGTCTATTTTTGGACTGAAGTAATTTTGCAATTGACTTGAGTTCGTAAAATTTTGGCATCGGTTCGAGTGTTGTACTTTACTCCTTGTTTTCTGCATTATACTGGAAAGGGCATGCCATATACCCGCTTGGTCGATTTAGCTAGGAACCAAATCAGCATTTAGCCACTAATCCATCTGCCTTCACTCAAATCGTGAATGACGCTTTCATCTGGCGATTTAAATAAATGCACTTCAGTGTATATTGCTTATAATAATGTTCTCCCCACAACACTACTAGAAAGAGTCTGTCAATTCTTAATGCAGTCAAGTATTCAGTAAACAGTTTCAGATTATAAAAATTATTGTAAAAAGGGTTGAAAGTTATCTGGAAAGATTTTAGTAACAAATCTTACTAAATTTTATATAATTTTTCTACTGGCACTTACCAGAAAGTGTTTGTCGACTACTTCCACTTCATTAATTGACTATCCGGCTTCTTCAATGTATGCATTACTATCAAAACAATAGAATATTTTAAGGGTTCAAAATAGTTATATCTTCATACAAAGTTTATTTGAAAAGGGAGCTACCCTAGGGTCACTATTTATATTTTGAGCCTTGGCAACACTGATTGATGTCAGTTGTCATCTGAGTTTCCATACGAAAGTTTGACATTATTAAACATAACCTATCTTAGATTTTTGTCAAAAGAACGTTAATTGTGTTATTTACATTGATTTTTAAATTGAGTATTCGCGAAAAAATTGAATTAACGCGAGAAAATTTTCATACGACGATTTATTACGACTTTCGACGCAGATTATCAAGTTCATCCTCCATACTTTGTCACTGTAAAACGCTGGTACAATGATTTTAATCGTCGCTGATAATACTGATAATACAAGATCGTTATGCGATGTACTGTGAGATTAAGGGAAACCTAGGCATAGTTTCACCAGCATATATAAAATATTGTACGATCATTTAGCCATGAGAAAAGTTTGGTCTCATTGGATCCTCCATCATTTTGCAAAATCTCAAAATTTTGATGCTCGTGTCGATTGGTGCACACTAATGTTCAAGAAGTACAATGGCGATGCTTCAAAAGACGTGTGTAAGATTGTAACAGATGACGAATCATGGATACTCGTATATGCTTATGAGCTGGAACGTAAAGAGCAGTCGACTGTATAAGTCTGTTTGGTTTAAAGATAACCCAAATCCAACAAAAGTTGTTTGCGGTCGAAGCACTTCGAAGCAAATGGTCGTTAATCATAAAGTAGAATACTTCGAAAAACAATAGAGCAATTTTCAACGATAAGTTAGTATTTTTTTATTACACTAGTTTACAAATAATTAAAAGTTTTGTTTTCCAAAGACGGGACGTATATTTTCTATAGGGTAATTTTCCGTAGAACTCGAAAATCATAACGATTTTTTTTCCTGTGTACCGTTTTCGAGATATTTGCAAAAAACCGTTATTTTGACTTTTCTCAAAACATCACCCTGCATATTCCCCCATAGCTTTTTTCCTGAAGTTATCTCAGTAATGTGTTATATATCATATTAAAGGTGAAACTTATACCAATATTTTGAGTTACATAGCGTTAATGTAACTTACTTAGTTTCGCTACTATAGCTAAAAATGTACAGATGAAAAATGTTTTTTTTACGCTTTTTTCAACATTTTCGATTTTCAAGGTGATGGGACTCCCACAAAAATATTAAAAAAAATTTTTTTTTTAATTAATGTTAAAGACTGTTTTAGTACAAACATTTTGAGTGGCTTAACATAAAAATCGAATAAAAATTTCAGAAGTTATTAGCCATTTGCCAAATTTGCCCAAAATAGTAGTTTTTATTAACAAGTCAGAAAATTCATTTTTTCGAATTTATTTTGTAAAATTTAGAGTGCAAATCAAAACTGTATTATGCAAAATTGCACAAATTTTATTTAAAAAATTAAAATTAATATTATTAAATATTATTAAATATTAAATATTGCATTTTATATAAAAGTTTGACGTCGAACGTAGAACTGCATTATTGAAAGTGAATTTATATAATATAGTGAGGTATATCTGTACTTTGAGCAAACTTCTTATAGTGTGTAGGATTTGTTTCTCTTATAATTGTCCAACAATAATCTCCCAACATGCTTGCGTCTCAATACCCTTGATATCTTTTTTCCATTGCAGAGATATCCTGATGAAACCTTTCACCTTGTTCAT